ATAATATGCTTTTGGATAATGCAACACTACTTGAAGTTTTTAGATACAATAAAGATCATGTTCAATATACTTATAATTTTGAAACAATGAAACAAATTTATAAGGAATTACAAAAAGAAATTGCAGCATCATTACCAGTTTGGAAAAAAAGTAGATTTTGGCGTCCTGTTACATTTTATTTTTTTGGTCAAGGTGGTGCAGGAAAATCAAATCTTGTACAAAAATTGTTTAGTTCAGAACTTTATTTGAAAAAAAAGAAACAACATTCTGGAAGTAATTGAGTAATTTATTTTTATTTATTTTTAAGTTTAAATTATATATAAGTTTAATTTTAATTTTAAATTTTTTTTAAGTAAAATGGCTACACAAATTAATCAATAGTTTTTCTTGATGAATAGTACACCAAATTTGATTGGAATGATATTATAAATTATTTGAATGATATACCAGAAGAAGTTGAAATTAAAGAAAAAGGATTTATTCCTTTTTTAGTAAAATATATTTTTATAACATCATGAAAACCTCCAAATAAAACATTTAATTTTAGACATCAAGGAACAGAAAAAACTATACAGCGAGATTGGGGTCAATTTGAAAGAAGACTTGATTTTATAATTGAATTCATGGGTAAATGAAATGATGATATTGAAAAAAGAACAACACAAATTTATTTTCATAAAGGAAATGAACAAGATTTTTGAAGTATGATTTGGGATTTAAAATATGATAAAGGAGAAGATACAATAGATGAAACAGTTGAAAAGGTAAAAGAATTAAATAAGAATGAACCTGAAAAAGTAATTGTTAAAGATAGACAAGTTTATTGGCATTAGCATTTTCCAGAATTTAAAAAAAAATATTTATCTGAATATCCTCAATGTAAAGAATTATCAGATTATAAAGAATATTATATGGAAGAAGAATGTAATAATAATAGAAAACATACTGAATTTTTTAATTCAAATGAAAGTGAAAGTAGTAAATGTAGAAAATAGTTTTAAAATTTTTTATTATATGTATATAAATATTTTATTAATAAATATAAATTAATCAAACCATTTAAAAAAATCGCAATTATCTTTTTGTTTGATACAATTATAAAAAAATCTATTATAATTTTTGTTATTTTTTTTAACTTGACATTTAATAACAAATAAATTACATTTACATTTGATAATATTTTGGTATTTATTTTCCCAGACAAAAAATTTATATTCAATGCATGTATAAAATATTCTGTTTAAATTATTATTACTTTTAGCATGATATTTTTTAGCTTCTTTATCACAATAGCACTTTATTATTTTTTCTTTTTTTATTCTTTCTTTTGCTTGTTTTTTTATTTCTTCTTGTCTTTTTTTTATTATATTTTCTTCTTTGTTTTTCTTTTGTTTATTGTTTTTTAAGTTCTGCTTCATGTTTTTTCTTTATATTTTTTTTTTTAATATTTTTTTCTTTTTCTTTTATATGTTCTATTAAAATTTTATATGCTTCATTTATTTCTTTAAACTTTTCAGTTGATTCTATATTATTTTGATTTTTATCAGGATGCCATTATAAAGCTAGTTTTCTATATGCATGTTTGATTTCTTTTTCTTTTGCATTTTTATTGATTTCTAATATTTTATAATATTTCGTAAAATTTTTAATTTTTGTCATTATTTATTCTTTTACAAAATAATGAAAAACGAATAAAACAAGAAAATGAATTTAAAAAATTTTTAAATTTATTTCTTTAATTTATATTTTGTATCTTGATAATAAATATTTATAAAAAAGATTTAGATTGAATAATTATTTCTTTTATAGGTCTAATTTTTATATTTATAGTATTTTAATATTACTATTGATATTATAATTTTCATTAAATTTTTTTATCATTACTTATTTCTTCATAAATTTCATTTTTAATTTGAGTCATTAATTTATTGATATCCTCATATGTAATTGTTTTAGATGTATTTTGAAACATTTCAAGTGTAAATCCAAATTCAATCATTTTCTATAATTAAAAATTAATTAATAAATATAAATAATAGTAAAATAAATAATTTAAATACCTGTTTTAATTTTTTAAAGTTATTATTAAAACATTCTATTAATGCATTATATTGACGTTGTAAAGTTTCTTTATCAAATTTTTTAATAGTATTTTCTTTTACTTTATTTTTATTTGCAAAAATAATTCATTAATTTTCTAATTTCTTCATATGATAACATTTTGGTTGTATCATTTAATTTTGAATTAATATTAAATAAAAGTAAATCATTGCAATAAATTTGATAGTTTTTTTATCTTCAATTAAGAATGTGTGATCAAAATGATTGATAATGTTTTTGTTATTATCGTAAATTAAAACATCATTAGGTTTTCCAATTTCATCATATATAAGATTAATTTCTTTATTATTATTATGAAAAAATTTTAATTCATAAATATGATTTAGCTGTGGAACTTTATATGTTTTGATAATAAAATCAGTATTGTTTACTTTTAAAATTTCAAACATTTTGTGATAAATTTTTAAAATTTAAAAAGTTTTAATAGAAAAGTCTGTTTATTTATAGAGAAAAAATATAAAAATAACGCATTTTTTTAAAGAGTTATTGAATATTTTAAAATGGATTTAGACACAAAAATTGAAAATTCTATTAATTATTTAACAAATTTTAGAAATATTTCTAAATTTGACCTTAAAATTGAATATAAAAATATTTTAAAAAAAACTCTATTTTTAACTTATATAACTCATTGATTTATGAAATTTAAACAAGTTTTACATATACTTCATGGAAAATTTCCTAACTTATACATGGAAAAGTACATTTATTTTGAAGAAATTAATCAAAATATATATAATTTAACATTTTAAGAAATGGATATAAATGTTAATAAAAAATTAGAACTCGAACAGGAATTTAATAAATTTCAAAAACTTTATTATCATTCATTTGTTAAAAAATAGGAAAATATATTTTTGGATTTTTATATAAATAAATATTTAGTTATTTTTAGTAATTTTATTATGATAATGAAATTAAAAATAAATTTATTTATATAACTAAAATATTTATAAATAGAAATAATTTTCATATTGAATTACTTATAAAATGCATGTAAAAATTCAAAAAAAAGAAACAAAACCTTTTATCAAAAAAAAAAGTATGTATATTTACATATTTTTTTAATTTTGAATATAATTTAATAATTATATTTCATAATTTAGAAAAATGGCATTAAGAGACGATTTGATTTCATATAAAAAAAAAGAAGCACTTAATATTAAATTTATTAATGAAAAGTACCTGAATATTGGGCTGAAAATGAAAAAATTTGATATTAATCTTATGCAATTTTATATTGTTGATGATAATAATTATTCTCATGAAAATGTACCTAAAAATATTAAATGTTTTGTTTGTTTAGGCTTTAAAAAATTAGAAAAAGAAGTAAAAAAAATTGATGGAGTTGAAGGATGGATTATTTCTTGGCATGAAGATTTCGTATTTGAAATCAATAACAAAGCTTTTTTTTGGTTACAAACTTTACATTCTCATGTGATTTGTCATTTAAAAGAATAGAAAAAAGTTAAAATTGAATTACTTGAATATAATGTTGAAAATAATGAAAGTAGTGAAGAGACAGAATTTGAAATTATGGAAGTTTCTGATAATGAAAAATAATTTTATTATTTTTTTTATTATTTTATTATTTTTATTATTTATTAATAAAATTATATAAATAGCTTATTACATTTAAATAAAGTATAAAATGAATTTATTAAATATTTCAGATCTTTTATTTTATATTTTTACTTTTTTTTCACCTCATCAACATGAAAATGTTAAAACAGTATTGAAAAAATTCTATCAATCATACATTTTACATCTTAAACAAAGAAACAGTTTAGATACAATTAAATATATTTTTTATCATTCTAAAAAAAGTAACAACCCATTTCGACAATCTTTATTGTTTTATGAAATTAATCATTTTGATGGAAATTTTGTTTATTTTAAAGGTAAAACACATTTGTATGATAGATGTAAACAATATAAAAAGTATCATTATCATAATTTCATTAATAATATTCAAAACTGTAAGAATTGTAAAAAAGAGGAATTACAAAAAGTGAAAATTTTGTATAACAAATTTGAAGTTGCTTATAGTAAATTACAAAAGCATTATATTTATTTATATGAAAAAAAATTTATAGATCATATTTTAAAAAAGAAATGTGATTGATGTTGAGGATATAATTTTTATTATGAATGTGATATTTTGAATCAATTTTGTGATATAAATCATTGTAAAAAAGAACTTTTTATATTTGTAGATCCTTTTGATTTTTTAAAATTAGATGTTGAATCATTATTCTGTAAACATATTTTTTGTGAATCTTGTATTGAAAAATTAACAATTAAACATTTACAAAAATCTTTAAATTCAGTACATAGAATACTTATAGTTAAATCAAAATAGTTTTATATATATTTAAATTTTATAAATAAACATTTAAATCTTATTCATTTTATTTTAATAATTAAAATAAAATAAATGTCTGAAGCACCTAAATTAACTGGTGGAAAATTATTGTAACAAGAAAATATAGAATTATCAAATGAAATTCAAAATGTACGTTAACGGAATATTGCTTTAAATGCTGATAAAGATGAACTAATAAGAGAAAACACTAGATTAAAAAATGAAATTGAACGACTTGAACAAAATAATAGACAATTAGAAGTTAATAATCAAAAATTAGTTAATAGAAATAATGAATTAGTTGAAATTAATAATGCTTTAAAAATAGTTTTTCAAGATGATAATACGAGAAATTTTTTGAATAGAAAATTAAGTTTTACTGTAATGATTTTTATTAATATAATAATTGTTTATTCATCAATATTTTTATTTTTTATAATATGTTATAATTTTGACTATAGCTTTACATGTATAACTTTTAATTATAAATAAATAAATTCATATTATTTTTAAATTATTGTAAAATATATTTGGTAGTTAAAGAATCAATATAATCAACAAGTTTTTTTTTGTTTGTACATTTTTGAATTTCAGTTTTAATAGTCGTAAAAACATTTAAATTCTTAAAAACTGATTGTAAATAATTATTATTTTTATCTGTAAGTGTTTTTGTCACTTCATCAATAATTTCACAAACTCTGTTAGTTTCAGCTTCTGATAATAAATCTTGTTCAGATATTGCAAAATATCTAACAATATCATTACTATAAATATAATTATTAATATTACATTGAATCAAAGTAATTAATGATTTAGTTCGAATATCCATTTTTTTTAAGTTATGTTTTATTTTCTAGCTAAACATATATAAAATTAAATTTAATATGAACCAATTAAATAATATTTCTTTATCAATTCTAAATTAGGAATTTAATTTAAAATTTATTAAATAGTTTTTCTGAAACAAATATTTAAACATTCTTAATTTGATTATAATATTAAAAAAAAAATGAAACTAATTCGAATGAATTGCACATCTGCTTGCAAATTTTGTCAAATAAAAAAAGTTAAATGTGATAATAAAAGACCTTGTACACAATGTCATAAATGTAATTTAGTTTGTAAGACCTCAGAAAAAATAAAAAAATGAGGTCCATCATCAAAAAATAGTGATAAATTAAAATTAAAATATATTATAATTTAAATATATTAAATTTTATAACCATTTCAATTTTTTATTTTTTTATTATGTTTTAATTTAAATTCAACTGCTTGTTTTTTCACTTGTTTACTAGTTCTATTTTTTGTAATACAAAAACATTTAGTTTTATATTTATTATTTTTATACCAATGAAATAACCATGCATTTGTATTTTTATCAAATACAATTCCATTATATCTTGATGTATTTGTATTTCGTAGTTTACAATTTAATGCATTTTTTCTTTTATTTGTTTCTTGTAAATTACTTTTACGATTATCTGTTCCAATTCTGTTAATATGATCAATCATCTTGTATTCTGAATAAACCATTTGATGAAAATATAAATTTTTATAATTATTATTTTCTTTAATATGTGAACTAATATAAAAAGTATTTTCATTTTTTCTTTTAAAAGAATATCAAATATAGTTTTGTATTAAATTAAAATTGTTAAGATCTGTTAGGAATGTGATATTTGGTTTTTGAGTTGACACTTCGAGAAACAGTGTTGCTTTAATTTTAATCATTCGATAAGAATTTGATTTCAATCATGGTTTAATGATTGGCAATTTGGTCCAAGTTGACAAAACTTCGAATGAATTAAATACTTTCTTTAAAGTAATTTTTCAGTCTCTTCTTCTAATGAATACATTTTTTAAACTTCTAATTAAAGAACTTTCATTAAATTTATATAATTTTAATTTCTCTGAGTCAAATTCAAAAAAAATTTTTTTGATAATTAAATATAAATATCATTAAATTATTTATTAAAAATTAAAAAAAAAATGATCAAAATCATAAGTCTTTTTGAAGGTCAAAGATCAAGTTATCTTAAATATTATAAAACATTACCATTTATGATTAAGATTTATAAGATTCAAACTGAAAATTATTTATTAGTTACGTTTTATAATAATTTATTAAATGAAATTCCAGTTCCTGAATTTATCGAATGTGAAGGATTTAGTAATGGAAATTCAGTTATTAAGCAAACATTACCTGATACAAATTCATTTTTAATTTTGTATCCTAGTAAATATAATTTATATTACAAAAAAGAATGTATTTTATCTTTTATTCCAGACCAAAAATGATATTATTTAGATTTTAAAAAATGTTTTATTTAAATATTTAAAATAATATAAAAATATTTATTTTTATTAATAAAATACATTATATTATTATAAGAAATTTTATTTACGTAAAGCAAAAAATATCATATAAAATTTTATTAAAAAAATATATAAAGCAAAAAAATTTAATTATTTAAATGCAAAAATATTACATTATAAGAAATAATGTTAAGAAAAAAAAAAAGATTATGATTCTAAATTATATTGTTTTAATTTTTTTCTTAATCGTTTTGCTCTTAGTACTTCTTTTGCTTCGATTAATTCATTTTTCAGGGCTTTTTTTCCTAAGAATTAAAAATTAAATTATATATTAAAAAATAAAAAAGTTACGATTTAATAAAAAAAATACTTTTTTTTAATTGGTTTATTTCTTGTTCGATATCAATAATGTCGTCTTCTATATATTCAATAGGTCTTTTTCTTTTATTATAATAATTTTGAGAACTGGTGGTAGTAGAGGTAGTGGTTGTAGTACGATCATTAGTTAAGTCGATCGAGTTTTCTGGAGGTGTAGTAGGTTTTGACATAATGAATAGATTTTTTTGGAAAGTTAATAGATGCAGTAAAATTTGTGATGTTTTGAAAAAAAAATCCAAAAAAAAGTTGAAATTTATTTAGAAAAAAAAAATAAAACGTCACAGTTTTTTACTAGTTTACGATATTCAAAATTTTAACAATATATCATACTATTTAATCAACATACATCATTATTAAATTATCGTAATTGTTGATGTTAAAAATATACGTATATTAATAATGATGTATGTGATAAATTTAAATAGTATGATAAAAATTTTAAATTCAATTGTCATTACATTTTTTATAGATGAAATTTTTTGTATTTTATTAAAAATAAATTTTATCAAAATAGAATACATACATATAAAAAAAATTATTCTGTATTTTCATATTTAGATTTATAATTAATAAATTTAGTGTTTAAATTGATATATTTTTTGTTTGTATTATCAACTTCTTTTTGAAGTTTTTCAATATTTTTAATAAGTGAAAGACCTTTATTATACTTTCTGAAAGCTTGTTGACAATTTTCTTTTAATGTTTCACAATCTTCACAAGATTTTTTAGTTATTAAATCTTGACGAAATGTGAATAGTAATGAGATAATATTATCAATTTTCGTTACATCATTGATATTTTCTTCAGACATCTAAAAAAAAAAAGAAATAGCTATTTAATAATGTTTACGTAAACTTATATATAAAGAAAAATAAAAAAACTTTATCATTAACAAAAACTTTAAAGGTCGTAAGTGCTATAAATGGCAGATGAAACGAACTGGTCGTTCACAATGTTTCATCTGTTACTTCCAATATAAAGGACCCCAGTTATTCAGAAGAGAGAAAGCAAAAAGGTTTTGTTCCAACTAGTATGGGTAATCAAATAATTTTTTTTTTTTAAAAAAAATAAAAAGATACTAACTTTTTTTTAAAATGTTCATGGTAAAAAAATATACGTGATGTTTTTTTCTGTAAACAAAAAATGATCAACATTTAAAAATAAATAATAAATCATATGATATAAATCATATGATTTAAATCTTATCA